AGCGAAAAGGTCGCGGTTAAGTGGAGTGGCGATTTTGAAAATGCCATCGAGTTCGATAACGACGCTTTACATCCGTCCGTGTTTAGTCAGGCAGATATAGGTACAATGGATGTAACACTTTAATGACTCACTCAAAGGTTACAACTTGCAACTGATCTCGTAATGGTTTTCGCTACGAAAGCTTATCATGCCCTTGCCTCTACTTTACCTGCATTAGCAGTGCTACTTAATTCCACTGAGTTGACTTGAGATTGAAAGCACTATCTCTACTTTATGTCTAGGTGAATAATTAAACGTATATACAGGCGGAGAAAAAGCTTGAAAAAGGTAACATGATCGGATTTCTTAAAAAAAAAAAAAAAAAGGACGAAAATGTCCATGTGCATTTTTTAAAAATATAATTTAGAAAACCGGGGAAATTAAAAGAAAATCACCACACCCACGTAAACATTCATTGAGTATGTTACACACATCTTACCCTACTTCAACAAAATAGGTATTAGTGATTAAATTAATGTATATCTTGTCACGAAGTCATAGATTTCGGAAAGTATATATAGCGTGACTGAATGATTTTTTTTTTTTTTTTTTTTTTTTTTACATAGGCCTACTCAAAAGATGGCTGAATTTTTAAAACTTCAAGATAAAGCTTCAGGGGAAGGGGTGGTTGGGATGGCACCCCTACCCCCTCCGACTGACAACTGTTAAATTATTTACAAAATGGAAAATATTCAAAATGTCCCTATAATAAGTTCCTTGAATAAAAATTAACAACATCACTTAATATTGCAAATCCTGAGCCATGCCTTCAGACTTTTTTTGGGGGGGGGGGGGGGGTGTCTTTTTATGCGTTGAACACCCCAGCCCTCCCCCACCTTGCGAGATCCTGGATCCGCCCCTTCTTGGATACTTCAGGCCTCTTCCTTAGACGAACTGTATATTTCAAGTCACTCTGGACGGTGAGCATGCAGTTTCAGCAGCTATTACCTATTTATCAAACTAATGGCAAAACAGGAAAACAAAGCAACATAAAAACAAACAAACTATAGGGGGGCCTAATAAAAAACCAGAGCATCTCGTTCAATTACTTTCTCGATGAGTCAGTGTACTTTCTGCTTTCCCGCGGGGTAATGAATTCATGCCTTTCCATAATGAAAACGGATACGAACTGCCCTAGTTTAAATTTGATACACGAACGAAACTCCCATGAGCATTACATTAAACTATGAATGGCACGAGATACATTGCACTATATGACCCAAATTTGTTCATATGTTTTACTTGAAATACATGTATGTACATGTAGTGAAAGGTACATGTGGGATCGAAGTCGTTCCATGATAAAATGGCAAATAGAGGCATTATGATGCCATAACAAAAACACTTGTTTCATCACATTTTAAGTGTTGCGATTGTGTGACCTGTCTTGAAACGGATTCACATCAACAGCCACAGACGGAACTATTTATTTCTCCATGGTCAAACCACGACCAAAAAACAAATAATTTCTTACTATGCTAAATTCCTCCAGGGGGAGTGTGACTTTAGTGGTAAGGCTTAGTGAATCATGCTCAGAGAGTCAGGGTTCGAATCCAGCTGCTGGCATGGCCATAATAAATTGGCTTCGGACAAGCCACTCCACCCCCATGATTGGCTCTCTCCACCCAGGAGTATACCAAAACTGTGATGAACACTCCTCCCATCTAGTCTATGTAATCGACCATGGCGAAAGCATACAGGAGACTGGGCTCTGCGGATAACCATGATAACGGGCGATACTCAGACTACCTCCAATCCAGCTGGGGGAATAGAAATGTTCTGTCGTTCCATGCCACTGACACCACAAAATAAACACAGCCGACCTTATGGGCCATAATATTGCCTCGTCATAGAGTTTGCTTACTCCATTCCTGTTGACTGGTGCTTTAATTTTATACCATTGATGATCGAGGCTAACTTGCATGCTTGTCTGCATTTACAGACCTGCAACCTTGTCTTTTTTCCCCTCAAACGTCAGGGTGACCTTTACAAAACCGACTTCCCTCCCGCGGTAACCTTTCGAATTCCATTCCAATTTGTCACGATTACTGGATGAGTTTTAGCGGCCAAGGATGGCTGACTGCGGTAATGCGTCGAGTCGATCGGCCTTGATCTTGCCGCGTTTCCCAAAGTCGGCCATTGGGACTGTAAATTGGACAACGAATGTCATGGCGTCGAGAAAGGTGAAGGTGCAACCTCGTCTCTGTGGCGTCGAGCAGTACACTAACACTCTATAGCTGCTCTTTCGCCCATGACTTTGGATCATTATTTTGTTAACGTCCAACAATCGTCGGTATTATAATTTAGGTGCGGAATAGTCGGGTGCCTTTACAATACTCTTTATCTTTAAATGTGGTGTAAAGGGCACATTCCTTGTGACGTCGGATTGGGGGGTGGGGGATTTTTTTTCCAAGTTGCGGATCGATAATCACACCTTATACGCGATATAAACCCATTCCACGTTATGACAGTATTCGGCAGTTTTGGGGCGTTAATTACCCTCCCAGAGTCCTGGTACTAAAAAGCTCGAGTTTAAAATGAAGCATGCAGGCGAGGTCTAGGAACGAGGTTGACAAAATGGGCATTTCTCTGATCTAAATAAATTAACAGAGGAAACATGTGGCTAGATGGGCCTAGGTGATTAAAAAAAGACACATAAAATACAACATGACACGATAACACGGACCATGCAAATATGTTTTTTAACCAATTTGTTTGATAATAATGTAGTCCTCTAACACAAAAAGGACAGTGCTACATACAATTCATGACAAGGGGTTCAAAATATTCTACAATGTACTACCGTACCATTTGATATTTTGATATCCACCAAATGGAACGATGAAATAACCCCTTGTGATTTGTATGGCGTCCCCTGCGTTCAATTTATTGTATGAAGGCCCGAAGCCCAAGCACATGCTTTATGGTTATGGCCATTATTAACGGGGCGCAAACGGTCATTATACGGCAGGCGCACAGAGCGCTCAATTAGTTTCACGACGTGACATTTCGATGTTGCCAGCTATTTTCAAACCGGGAGAATATCACCGATCTCGATTTGTCTTGGGGCGTTATACAAGTCCACTGTTTGAGCATTCATGGGGAAAGGCAATAGGCCTTCACCTTACCGTATGAGAACTTGTCATTAAGGCAGGGTTACAAAAGAACACATACAACTCTCTCCCTTTTCCCCTTTTCTTGTAGCCTTTAGTCAAGTCCCACGCGCTTACCCAGACACGTGACGCACTCCAGATGCTGACACGTAAAAAGACTAGCACGAGCGGCGTAGGAGCGAGGGCCTTTACCATCTCGTGGAGAACGCTTATGTTTTTCTTTACATTTTGTCTACCGATTTGGTAGACATGCATAATGCATTACCCGTTGTGAATTGACCAATGAAAATGCAGAATTACTAACGTAAATCAGCCGTCGTCTGGCGCGCCATGGCGCGCACGCGTGCTGTTGCTGGTAACCGCAAACCACCGTTAGATGATTGGTTTATATTGCTTGATTAATATTACGTGAATAAATGAATAAGTGATTAGTTCCACGAGATAGTAAAGGCCCTCGCGGCTTTGCCGCTCGTGCTAGTCTTTTTACGTGCCAGCATCCGGGGTGCGTCCGGGTATAGGCGCGTGGGACTTGACTAAAGGCTACTTTTCTTGGGGATGGCGTCAATTGTGTGAGGCCATACCACCACCTTAGGCCTATGTATTTCTCCCCAACTCCACTGAATGGAGGTACTAAACGTGACACAAGTGGTGCAATAAGTGGTGAATTAAACAATGATGTCATGTTTGGAGAATAAAACATCGAGATGCAAAAGTACCACACCCGAGATATACCATGGAGAAAAAAGTATAGAAAGTCATGTTTTTGAATACCAAATAACTGAGAATTAATTCGAGATTTAAGTTTATTGTGCAATAATAATATCTTCATTTTGAAAGTTGTTTGCACCTATACACAAGTGTATTGTGCGGTCAAACCAACAAATTAACACCACTATGGATTAAACATACAGCCAGAACAAGGCCTAAGAAAGGAAAAACCAAAGGTGGATTTTGTTTCAATTTGAGCTCTTTACATGATAAAGAGCTAGGTGCTTTGACGCATTTAAGATGGTGCGTACTATACAGATTTAAATCAAATATGTGCAACCGAATGAGGTTTGCTATTGACTCCAAACGAGTGTTTGCACGATTTTACCCAAGAAACTACAGGGTGCCCCAAAAAAGTTGTGCAAGCAGATATCCTTTAATTTCTACTCTTGTGTATATTCAATAGAAATGCCATGGAAATCCGTTCATGGAAACCCGAGATCTGACCCAGGCTTTGGGTTTTCACCCATTCCAATGGATGGGATTTACACAGTTAACTAAATTTAGATCACTTTGTCAGTCTAATAACTGAAGTGTTGAATCCAACACTGGCATGAGTTGGGTGAGTGACCAAACTCTGAGAGTGTTGCATCCAGCATTTTAAATGTTAAATCCAATTTAAGTGTTGATTCAACATTTTGTCAAAGTGTTAACTTTTAAAGTGTTGAATCAACATTTAAAATGTTGAATTAACGGTTTAAGCGTTGGATGTAACATTTAAAATGCTAGACTCAACACTTGAAAGTGGGGTCACTAACCGAACTCAGGCAAGTATTGGATTCAACACTTCAGTTTTTAATGAAAAAGGACCATGACAATCTAATGCACTGATATCACATTGGAATGGGTGAAAAACCCATAGCCTTTTACAATCTGTAGGAGCTCTGGTTTGCACGAACGGAGTTCCATGGCATTTTTATACACAGGAGTATAATTAATATGCTCCAGCAAAATTAAAGGATATCTGCTTGCACAACTTTTTTTGTGGGGGGCACCCTGCATTGGACCCGTTAACGTGGCCTACCCTGCACAAGAAAGAAGTACAAAATGCAAAAGTTATCACTGTCTTCCGACACACAGGGACCCCTTACCTGAACCAGCTGGACCGGGCCCAGAGGGACTCCCGCCTGGGTCTACCATGCGACGGTCGCTGTCATTCCCAGCACCGACCCACCTACGCCCCGACCATCATGCGTTCCTTCACCGCCCCGGCCGCCATCGTGGCTCCCAGCGCGCTGGGCCTGTGCACGGACCGTCCCGTGGCCGGCGGACTCTGCCCCGTCTGCCGGTCCGGTATCGTCAACGGAAACCGTACCTCTGGACTCTTGTGTTGTAAGATAAACCACAGTCCGGCCTGTCCTTCGTGTGGTGTGGTGTTCGACGACGTCGACGAGTAAGTTCATTTCATTGTTTGCAAATCTCACAAGTCTATAATGGCGGACTTTGTTGCGACTCACATGCACATGTGTATTGGCAGTCTTTCCTGTGAATCCAACACGTACGTTCACACTACTACAACCAAACAACTTTCTTGACTTTTAGCATCCAAACTTTTCCCGCCATTTTTAACAAACACTCCATTCCTATTGGCCAGTCTTCGACAAGGCTTGATTTGCATATTTTTCGCAAAGTCTTGTGGGTAATTATTGTATGCGCGACAGCAGAAGCTTTCGACCACTGTGAACGAAACGCGTAAACCCCTTTTATTTCATTAAGTAAAACCTCCCCGAAGGTTTAAAATACATGGCACACAAAAAGTACGCTGGCTGGTCACGGCCAATTATAGTCTGTATCAATGTTTCATACATAAAGAGCTGTGCTGTAAATGTACGTAAAAATTAAATGGAGTTTGCGAAGGGCGAGTGCCGTTTCCGAATTCCATAGAAACAGCCTTGACAACTGGCAAATTTGGGTATTTTTCATAAAATATAAAAGAAAAGTACACCCGCGTTTTTACCTTCATCAAATTTTTTTCATCGAGTACTGCTCTCTTAATAACAGAACAACTTTGTGCTCACTTTGTGCAATGCCAGCAATTTTGCAAATTGATGAGTCCACATTGTAAAAAAAAAAATAGGTTTAATCCGAGCATTTGGACAAAAAGGTACACTGAATAATAATGTGCAAACTGAAGACTCCAACTCAAGTGTGTTTGTTGGAACATTTTTACATTTTTCGTATAAGCCTATGCAGCAGGCTGCACATCCAGTGACTTATAAACTCTAGCCCAATAAATGTCACTCAAATTCTTCAATTCCTCTGATTTCTTAGGCCGATAATATACGGACAGCAATGCATACTACATTTTTCTGAAAAGTTGTGTTTCCTAGCCTTTTTTTCCCATTTGATATCCGCAATGGAAGCTACTATACCTGGTTAATATCCAAGGAAAATGAAAACTTCAAAGGTGCATGACCCATGACCTATGACCTCGAGAAAATCTTGCCGTCATTTTGGACACACTCAAGTTCAAATTTCTCCTGAAAATGACAGGTTAATTTGACATCCAGAGATACAGTATTCGATTACCTGGTTATTTATCAGGTGAGTAGCTTCCATATTGCATATCAAATGAAAACCAGTCTAGATTTCAAAATCAGGAAATTTCAGGAATTTTAGCTTCCATCGCCGTGTGTCGCTCAAAATAACGAGAAGTCCAGTATTTGAGACACATGGGGCGATGTGTTCAGTAACTCGAACTCCTTTGCAACGTACATGTAATCAGTCGAGAGCTGACTTTCTGGATTCCTTCTCTGTCATCTTATATTTCAGTATGCTTAGGGACTCAGAAAAGGACTCGAAAACACCAGGCTGAATGTGACTAATTTGTGGATTGTTTTAATTGAATCACATATCAGAAACTTGCACTCCCTTGCATTGTTTTTAATTGGCAGCGAGCGAGTTGAGCACCGATCTGCCACAAACGACAACACCAGCAAGCAGGGGTCAAACCAGCATGTCAAAGGTCAACGGACTAAGGCCCCCAAGGGAGGCCACACCAAAAATAATAGACACCAGCAGGACCTGTTGCTCAAACCCCAAAACGTGGAACTTACTAGCGCCAAGAAAAAGCTCTCTGGGAAAAAGACGGATAAATGAAAAGGAAAAGAGGGTGATCAATGTTGAAACGTAAGAAATTTATTGGATGCATTCAAGCGAGCGTCTTGCTCGCACGCAAAGTTGCCAGCTCCTCCCCGGCAAGTTGTCAGCCAAACACGGAAGGATGTTTGCACGAGTGAAAAATTGATGAATTGCAAGATACAGGGTGTGAAATGATGCAACTATATTCATAGGTGCACTCAAACAAAAAAAATCTGTTGACGTGATGATATGCCATGTCGAAGGGTATAAGCGCTTCATCATTACGATTCATGTCACTTGGCGAGACAGAATTTCTTTGCTTGTCGTGTGCATCTCGCAAGACATACATCACGTCCCCATCGACTGGAATGTCGTCATGTGTCACATGGTTGAAATGGACGTGCACACGCATGGGAGTAGGCATCACCAAGGCAACAGGATTTCTGGGCAGTCGTAATCTGAATTGAGGTGGAAATGGTATGCTGAAGTTCATGAGATATATTCTCCATACACGATATTCTAAGGATACATTTTGTACAGCACCAGCATATGGAACCAACACAAATATGAGGGTTTTCCAGCAAGCTTGAGAGCTAGATAACAGTAAAAAGCAGAATGAGGTAAATGTGTGTTTATTACATTGCTTGTTGCATGTAAATTTAAAAAAAATATTGTTTTTAAAACCAATGTCCTATATGGGAAAACAAGAAATTGAAAAATGCATTGCTGTGCTACGCTTCTGTTTTCAACATGTAAATTTGGATCATTTTATAAATGAATGTGTTGTGGGTCGCAGAAAAAATTGAAATCCCTACATCTTGAGTGATTGAATTGTCTTGAGAACCAGGCAAACAGAAACATGCACAGTGTATTTACAAGTCTTTTGTTCCCCAGAATTGGGCATTAACATCACACAGTAGACCTCCTGGTAACATTTAAATTTCATACCAAAAATGATTTCTGCATGTTTAAATTGAAAATGTTTATCTAACAGCATATGGATCTGAAAATGGAGAAGCACAATTTTCCATATATTGCTTCTCTTTATTGGTTGAATTTCAAATCCAGCAGGACTATTATGTACCAATAGTCCTGCTATGGACTATTATGTCCCAAACTGTATTTGACATTTCCAAGTAAAAAGTATTTCTTAAAGGTGACAAAATGCTCAAAAGCACTAGCATATTATGAACTATGAAAATTGGCACAAACTTGTGCCAAGTTCACAGAAGATTTGTTCAGCAGCAACAAGTTAGTGGTCAATATGTCACAAAAGGTATCAAACTTATTACTGACTGGCTTTACATTTATATTTTTGCACATAAGTTTGGTACACTAGCATATATGAACTGTGAAAATAAACACCTAAATTGTGCCAAGTACGCAGAAGAATTTGTCAGCAAAAACAGGTTACTGGTCAATATGTCACATAAGGTATAGAAGTTTTTATTGACCGGTATTCCCACTGATATTTGCCCATGCACATATAAATTTGGTGCACTGGCATATTGTGAACTACTGTGAACTATGAAAATAAACACAGAAATGTGCCAATACAACTAAGATTTTTTGAAAAAAAAACTGGTATATGTCACAAAAGGTATATAGGCTATTATTGACTGGCTTTCCGCTGATATTTCCCTCTGCACATAAGTTTGGTGGGCAATGTATTTCTGATCAGCAGCTCCATATAAAAGTGGGTTTTGGAGCCATTTTCATGGCCCTGCTTAACAGTTAGCCGAAAGGTTGTGCTTACTATAGCAGAAAATTGTGCTAACCCAATAAGCACTATTTCATGTGCTAACGGTTGTGCTGGCACGGAGATTTCTATTGATACATCAGCAATTTAAGCAACTTTTCCCCCTGAGGTAAGCGTTGCCTGTTTACTGCTTATGGTCTCCATGAAATAGATGGCAGCTCTTGTTAGCAAAAAAATTGTGTGCTTAGCAGTGATATGAAATTGGGTCCTGGTTACTGAAATATGATTCCCCAGACATCCAATTAAATACTGCAGACACTCCCCATAGCCATACCGAAGGAGCAATATGTCAAAAATACAGTCATCTATTATCTTGGTCAAGCACTTCCACGAAATCAGGTGCTGGCAATAAACGCTAAATGGCAATTAGGCAAGCAGGCAATAAGGAACACGCAATCCAGTTGGCATTCAGTCACTAATTGGAAAGGCAAATGCAGCACCAGTAAGTTATACTTTAAAAATCAAAGGTCGGGAAACCAGCCATAACTGCTTACAGTTTCAGATGAGGCTGTCAGGTTGTTTAAATGATTGCATATTAAACTGTGATGGTTAAAAGGTGTTTAGCATTGACAAAATGTCATAAACCGAGGAAGGTATGTAGGTTGACAGGGGGCAAGGGAAATTATAATCTTGTTGGTGAACACAGCAATCACCTTTCAGTGCATGGGTTCTGGGCCCTCTGAAGGACCCAATTTTTTTCTCCCCTCTTTACGAAACCAAGGGTTCAACAGACTGTGGCTCAGCAGCCTAAAACCCCTAATAGGTGAACCAAGAACATTTTTCAGTGTTAGAATTGGGAGGAAAACTACGGATTAACAATCAAAGAAATCTCACGGATTTAGGTGGGGACTAAAAACCCAAGCCACGTGCCGGCCTGGGTGGGAGTCATGCCTGGGTCACAGGGGGAAGATGGGGAAGGAACTACTGGGCTAATCTCATTTCAGGTTTTAAGATAATCCACGGAAGTGTACAATTGACATTTTCCAAGAAAAAATCACTGGGAATCTGAACTACCTCTGGATTATTCAAATTGAAAGGTCTTCTGGGTTTTTTTTTATAATAATGTTGAACTGGTTTTGTTTTAAATGTTAGTGTTTGGAGCTGTTAAACACTGTTAAAAAAAGGGTGGGCAAAACACTGTTGGCAATGTTATTTGTCCAACATTCGTATGAATTTGCCTCATTGTTGGTAAATTAAGGTGATAAACATGACCAACTATTAAGAAGAATTTGCCAGAGTGTTGACCGTATTGACCAACATTGGGCAAACTACCAACCCATTTTTTTTTGTTAAACAGTGAATAGGGCATCTTCAATATCATAAAATACATATTTGCATGCAAGTATAATAATTTATCTTAATCACTGTCAGTGCGGTTAATGAAACATGAAACAGTTGACCGACAGCATTATGGAATGATTAATATTGAAGACACCTTGTGGATGACTTAAAAAAGAAACCCGACTGACATATGGACTGACGTTGATTGGACGGAATTGAAAACATGTGTGTGTAAGATTGCCAATTAGAGTCGGAACAATTGCTGTTAATGATGAGGGTTGTAGATATCCAGATAACCACACAGTCCATGCAAAATTAGTCATGCTTGTCACCTGATGGGTTTAACAGAGGGCAGCTACATGTAGCTCAACCAACAGCACTTTCATGCATTTAAAGGGAAAGAATGTTGCAACCTGACGCTGCTTTTGTCTTCATATATCATCTTAATAAAGGTCAGTCATTGCAAAAATGATGATAAGACACGAATCTGGGACTGAGAAACATTTCCCATTTTGTTAGGAAATACTTAAAACATTTTCTTGACTCTCCATAGACTTTGTACACAACCGCTGAAGTGGCTAGGTTGCAACATTCTTTTCCATTTGAGTACAATGTCTTTGAACACGATAACAGTCCCAAATGCTTGTAGTTTTCCAAGTCGTGTTGGATGCCTTTGAAACTGGGAATTTAGGGATGTTTAACACACATGGGAGACATTTGAATCAACACTACTGTGTAGGGTTTAACTTTATATTGGCCAAAATGGTGGATTGGACCTTTTTTCCTCTGAGATATTCAATTGTTGACAACGCTCATCGCGGCAAAGAATTATCTCAACAGTGAATTTATGAGAAACAGGGCTACAAAAATCACTTTGTATTCATCACTTACAAATTATTTTGGTTGCAATGACAAATATTTCAGAATGAAATGCACAATTTGTAGTTGAATGATTTTTAAATCCTCCTATTGATTGATCATTCACAGACAGTCAAACATTTCAACTTCCCTTGCAATGCATTTGTATACAGGCTAGTAAAAAAACCCAGTCAGATCACCTTTGTGTAAACACTGTGACTAGTCAAATTCCATCAACAGACAAAAGAGGTAATTGGTAGGTACAGCTGGCATATCAATCAACTCCAGTCAAACCATCGCTATTTCAAATAAACAAGGGAATTCTTAACTGTTGAAAACAGTCACTTGACTGATTTTGACTGCAGTGATGGCGTAGCAGAATTTTGTCAGCCAGAGAGGGAGGGGTTTACATAAAAACCTAAAAATTGGCAATCCCCTTTATTGTGAGATTCCTCCGAGTGATTTAAAATTCCTTTTTTGGGTTGCCTGTTGCAAAACAGCCTCGTCGCTTCGCATGCAAGTGTGTGCATAGCTCATCAAGGGCCCAGGGACGTTGTAACACCAGAAGTGTTTTGCAGAGAGTTGTTTTGAACGGTAATTAACCTTTGATGCAAGTCATCTGATAATGTCACAGGAACTCGTCCGGCAAGAAGATGTCAGATGGGATATCACAGATCAAGATACGAGTGCTCGCGGCCGTATCATTTTCAATTCTGCGATGGGGGATGACACTGAAGTAGGCCATGCAAACACAATATCAAAAAAAAAATACATCATACGACAAGTTTCTTTTGTTGTAATGTAATTGCTTTCTGCAATTTTTTACTTCTCGGCAAGTTATTGGTCATCAATATGTTTACAGCTTATAATTCCGTAAATTATATCCTTTTGTACACAATTACAACTGAGACAAGCTACTATCTAGAAATCTAATACAGTACATCAGAGATCATTTTCATACAGTAATAAAATCCATTTTTACAAAATGTCCATAAAATAAGAAATAATATGTACCTGATTATTATCACTCTCTTATTTCCAAAAACTGAAAACTGACTCTGTTCGAGTGAAACTTCCCTCGCAGGGACTGAAACTATGGACCAGATGTCGAGTGAAATTCATTCAATCGAGAAGATCAAGTTTTCACTCGAGTTTCCACTGGATTGACTCTTTTTTAAAAGATTATTTTTTAATCCAAAATCAAAGTGATTTTCAGTCTAAATCCTCTAGTCCCTAGTTTAAAGCTACAGTCCATCATTTGCAGCTATCCAAAAAGTAACTGACATTATTGTTGAAAAACATACTTGGTTGAAAGACAGTAAGGGAACTAAACTCCCTGTGAAATAATTTGTCAGATCAGTGTGCGACATCGCGTAGCTGCAATCGGCTCAGTGAGAACGGGTCTCTGATGCTGAATTAAGGCCCAATTCAAAACATGATTCAGCAACTTTTGATTTGAAATCGAGATCCTAGAATGTTGATTTTTCTCGAAATACACAGCTGAAGCTGAAGCTGAGCTGAAACTTCATCAGGTTAGTTGTTCAGCACCCTTCTTTAGATTTCGAGCACTTTTGTTGCTTCAAATGAACAAAATGCACAAATTACAAATGATGGACTGTACCTTTAACTCTTTTGGAAATTAGAGAGCACATGTTATTCATACAAATAACTATACACAAGCATTCTGATTACACGTTCATTTTAAATTCATTTGAGAACCGGGTAGTTTCATTTCCCCATATGGGCAATTCCAGTGGTATGTAATGTCCGTGACAGAGCTTTTAAGAGTTCAGTGAATAAACCTGAAATGTACTTTTCAAATCGCATACATCCATCATCTAGTAATGGTCAAAGAGATTACAGACTAGGAGTTTGGGATCATTTCTCTGAATTATTAATTAGATAGCATGGTTAATGGGCCCCGTCACGGACATTACACTTCCTTTCATAACGCTGGTATTGTCCATATACCAATACTTAAGCCGCTGTACATGTATGGAGCTAATCTACACATACCACTGGGAGAATTTTTTTATTGGGGGGGGGGGTGAAAAGTAAAACACCAATTAATCAAAATTTATCAACGTCTGCAAATTAATAAGACCTCTTTAGATCTCTGCTCCGGCAGTTGCTCACACATATTGTACCCACATGCTTTGTACACATGCATGCTTTTGAGCCGGCCGCTAATTTTTTGCAAACCTGTAAAAAAAAAAATTTAAAAAAAAATTCCCCTGCCAATATTTACTACTCAGTCTGTAATTAATGACCATCGTAAATTGCTCAGCTGATGGTCTGTGCAATCATCAAGTGCACTGGACTCCATCAGTTTGCGGCCTAAACGGCAATAAATGGTTTGGGCAATTTTTGCATTGGCTGGTAATTGCATGTGTACTGGTATATATCAAGGGTGTTGTTCATTACAAGTAAATATTGTATAATACGGCTGCATCAAAATGACTTGGCTATGGCTAAGTGTAAGTTAACACACGCGTCTATGGGAAGTGGCTTCCGCTGTTTTGCCATAGATGCATGTGAAATAGCTAGCCGTAGCAAAGCCACTGGGATCAAAGCATGTATGCATACTATACGTACATGTACATGTAATACACCTTTACATTTTTATGAACCAGTGCATGTGAAAGTCATGATGTTTCATAGGTCTACCGGTGTCATATGAAAATCGGACTCGTATGAAAATCGGACTGTTTCCCTTTTATTGGGTAAACCCTCTCACGTGACCGGTCCCTCTCCTAATTATCTATGCATGAGCATGCGCAATACCACCAATGAGTCCGTATTTCATAAAACCTTAATTCATGCTACAACGGTACTAACATATTTTGTTTTTTAAAGACTTTATTAACAAAATCATTATTACTATCAGTCAGCAGGTCAGCTTGCATCTTGAGAAGCAAAGGATAGCACCCTAGAATTGTTCTTTTTCAGCGTTAATGTTTTTGGTTTTGAAATATAAAGCTATATTTATGGACATGTGCCATATTTTCAATGGGGAGCGCAGATAAAATCCTGCAATCAGGCACACTATATTAACTAAAAGTGTACAAATGCACCCTTCTCACGACTATTTATTTAGGGGAGACTGTTCGCATGTATGTCACATTCCTACAGTTTGCTAGGGCAAAATTTTTTGTATGGAATTTTTTACTGACTTGTGATTGATTCTGGAATGGTGCACAAAGGGGCCTGTAAATACCTTAACAGGTTGATGCCCTGCTGGATATAATTTTTTTTTTACAAATTTTTAAAGGTGCTTAATTCTGTGTTTGGTTACCCAGAAGAGACAGTGATTTAGAAATTATGTAAGATGGTGTGTGGAAGTAATTGTTAAAAAACTAAAGTTGGTTACAAAGGAACAATTCCATATAGTGGTCTTCGGATGAAGGGCCAATTCTGGCGTCATTTCTGAAACTCAAACCATTTCTGAAACTGGCGCTATTTCTAAAACTGCACGGCGCCATTCTGAAACCTTGACTTAAGCTTCACATTTTGCCTTCAAGCTTGAATTCCCATAGCCATGTACTACTTTGTAAATGCAAATTAGACCTAAATTACTGATGCGTCTTCATGCACGAGAGGCCTTAAAACAACATGACAGGCAAGCTGAAGCCACGTCTACCGTCAGACTTGATGTCAAGTGTTGTTGTGTTTTGCCTGCCAACTCAGCCGTTATTTACCGGTGCGACAGTGTGTGATGTGTTTCTTATCCTCTGCCGGTTTTAAAACTTGTCTGATTAAAGTTGATGAACATGCGAATTGGCATCAAGGAAGAATAAAGGTTCTCGCATGTTGGTTATATATTTCATGCTGTGGTAGAGGAGGCAAATGAAACAAAACCTGGCCACATTTTGCCTTCAAGCTTGAATTCCCATAGCCATGTATTACTTTGTAAATTAGACCTAAATTACTGAGATGCATTTTAATGCACGAGAGGCTTTAAAACAACACGACAGGCAGAGCTGAATTAAGCCACGTTTACCGTCAGACTTGATGTCAAGTGTTGTTGTGTTTTGCCTGTCAACTCACCCGTTATTTACCGGTGCGGCGGTGTGTAATGTGTTTCTTATCCTCTGCCGGTTTTAAAATTTGTCTGGTTAAAGTTGAACATGCAAATTGGCATCAAGGAAGAATAACCGTTCTCGCATGTTGGTTATATATTGCATGCTGTGGCAGAGGCGGCAAATGAAACAAAACCTGGCCACATTTTGCCTTCAAGCTTGAATTCCCATAGCCATGTATTACTTTGTAAATTAGACCTAAATTACTGAGATGCATTTTAATGCACGAGAGGCTTTAAAACAACACGACAGGCAGAGCTGAATTAAGCCACGTTTACCGTCAGACTTGATGTCAAGTGTTGTTGTGTTTTGCCTGCCAACTCACCCGTTATTTACCGGTGCGGCGGTGTGTAATGTGTTTCTTATCCTCTGCCGGTTTTAAAATTTGTCTGGTTAAAGTTGAACATGCAAATTGGCATCAAGGAAGAATAACCGTTCTCGCATGTTGGTTATATATTGCATGCTGTGGCAGAGGCGGCAAATGAAACAAAACCTGGCCACATTTTGCCTTCAA